AGTTCCCAATGGTAACATGTGCAGGTCTCCTTGTCCAAATCAACCAACACCTGGTCATCCTTCAGCTGCACCTCAAATGTATTCCCTCTGGATGGCTGCACCACACAAGACCTAGCCACAAAGTCTATCCTCCCCAGAACATGCCTCACATATGGCACTAATAGTCGATGTATTTGAACTTTCTACCTTCTTATCCTTTTTTTTTGTCTTTGCAGGATTGGGTTGGGCCTCTTGTATGGGCTGACTAGGAGCTTCTGTTGTTACAAAAACCTCAACATACCCCTCTTCATTTACTGTCTCCAAAAGGCCCTTAACCTCTTCACTGTTAACTAGTTCCCTTTTCCCAGTGTTAAAGGTTTTCCCCTTCTGCCTATACCAACAGCTGTAATGCATAGGCACATCCATATCACCATTAACAAAACCATGAATTGCAGCTGTTCTAATCAAATGCACATCCAACTTAGATACTTGAACCTTCCTCTTCCAGTAACACCAACCACCACACCAACACAGCAGCTGCCTGTTTTTGGTTACTCTTTTAGGGACAAAAGCACCTCCCACTCTAAGGCAGATGTCAACCAAACTATCCTTGTCACCCATTATCTACCCACCAGTGAAAAACATATAAAACATATTAAAAGCCATGTAACTATACATGCACAATACGAATAAACAAATCCATCACAGCCACACAAACAAACACATAAAAAAATTGAAAATAAACATATACAAGCCAATGTAGGTGCTCAGTAACATAAATTAATCAACAAACCACACTTGCTAGTTTAATTAACAATAAACCACCTTAATTAATCTCTACTTTCAATTACGAAATCCAATTAACCTAAGTCGCATAGTCAGTTACAGAAATTGATTTATCAAGGCTTTCCTACTGTGGTCCCAAAATTTACCCTAATTACCCAATTATTGCAAGGTTTACAGCAATGAAGCACCAGTAATTGACGAAATTGCTATCAAAGGAGAGCAATTTTACCTTATTTTCTGTGAATTTCAAGCGGCTTTCGCACTTTTGTAGTTGAAGAAGATGATGAAGAAACCCTCCTGAGCTTATCTTCTCCAACGTTGACACCACCCTACACTCCACTTCTCAGCCAAGATCTCCTTTGGTTCAAAAGCGAAATCAATGAAGGTTCAGAAAGAATTCAATGCAGACGGTTGGTGCGAATTCAATGAAGAAAGAAGTTTCGTGTTTTGCTGGGTGAAAATTGAAGTTCAAGCCAATTTGTGGGACCCACGTTAAATTTCCGTGACGGAAATCGTTAACTGGTGTTAACTTCCAACTTTTATATTTTTGGGAGGTGTTAAAATAAAAGTTTTTTTTGGGGGGTGTTAAAAAACATTTTCAGCCTTTTGTAAGGTGTTAAAATCCAAAATATCCTAAATAAAATAAGTTGGCACGGTTTGGCCCGCGGCCCGGCATGACACGGCCCTCAAGGCACGTGGGCCATGTCGTGCCGTGGGCTGGGGTGTGCCAAATTCAGGCACGGCACGGCCCGCCGTGGAGCCGACACGGCACAGCCCCCACCCCGGCACGACCCGTGCCCATGTTTAATTTTGTTATTGATTTTTGTTTGCGTTTCTGTTCCAATTCCTTTGATTTTGGTTTTATTTTGAGTTTTTGTTAATTATGTTCGAATTTGTTCTTTATTTGTTCGAATTTCATAGATTTTTGGTTTGATTTTGAGCTCGAACTTGTCGAATTAAGGTTCGAATTGGTGGGTTTAATTGTTGAATTTTGGTTCGATTTATGAGCGTTTTATTTCGTTTTTTGTTTGATTTTTTGTCGAATTTTTTGTTCGATTCTGTGGTTTAATTGTTCTGTGTTTATTTTTTGGGTTGAATTTTTGGCCGATTTTTTTAATTTAATTTTTGTTCGTTTTTTGGTTTAATTTCTGAGCATTTTATTTGTGGGTTAATTGTTTTGATAAATTTGGATTTTTTTTCGAAATTGTTTGATTATTGTAGGTGATTTTTTTTATTTTTTTTTTTGTTTTTACTGTTTTTCTATGTTAAGGGTGAGTGGTGGTGGGTATTGGTGGTTGAAGGTGGGCGAAGATAATGGTGGGTAGAGGGCGGCAAAGGCGGCTACTGGTTGTTTAGGGTGGGCAGTGGTGGTGGTTTGGGTGGGATCTGGGTTAAGGGTGGCATCTGGGTTAAGCCGTTAAGGGTGTGGGTGGGTGGGTTTTTTTCTTTTTTTTTTTTTTGTTTTTTTAAAAACTTTTAGCGACGGCTTATGACGGTCGCTAAATTCAATATTTGCGATCGTTTCATAAGGCGGTCGCAATTTCTAATATTTGCGACCGTTTTTGAAACGGTCGTTGAAAATAGGGAAAACGGCCGTAAAAAAACTGCGACCGTCAAACAGTCGTGATATTTTTTTTTTGCGACCAACATAATAACGACCGCCATGTTGCGACCGTTGACAGTCGCAATTATGTTTTGCGACCGTTTTTACTATTTTTTGCGACCGTTTGCGCCGGTCGCAATTTGGCCAATTTTTAGTAGTGATAATAATAATAATAATAATAATAATAATAATAATAATAATAATAATAATAATAATAATAATAATAATAATAATAATAATAATAATAATAATAATAATAATAATAAAATTTGCTCTGCTCTGCTCGGCTCGGCTCGGCTGAAATCTGCTCTGCTTTGCTTTGCTCTGCTGAAATCTGCTCTGCTCTGCCCAGAAGCTCAAAAGAACAGGGCCTAGTTGTTTTTTTCCAAAGAAATATATGTTCTTTACGACATAGATGCACGTTCTTTTCAAATTAGCTACATGTTCTTTCCGCGTTTGTTGTATGTACCAAGCATGATACCACTACCTGTAGCTTAAAATTTTCACTATAGGTTTAGGATTAACTCCTATAGTTGTATACAGAAATGGGCAAGAAAAATTCCATGATCAAAACTCATAATTGCTTTCCAACCCATTTGTTCTTAGGAAATGTTTTTAATTTGGGCCCCTTGAATTAAGGGTTTTTAAAAAAAAAAAAAGCGGCATTGGCCCTTAACTTTTTTTTTTTTTTTTTTTTTTGACAGAGCCATTGACCCTAACATAACCCTAAGAAGTTATGGAAAGTCTGTGATCTATAATTCTATAAATAAGAGCCAAATATAGCAGGTTTTGTTTATACATCCTCCAAAAACAAAGCCGTAAGTACGTTGTTATTTAGGAGCGATCAAGTTTCCCATGGAAAACCTTAACCCGAAGAAAAAGGCTAACAATGAATCACCAATTGCAGATGTACATGATATTAACAATGAACCTTGTCCGACTTGTGTGTTATAAAACTGTCATCATACGCAAATTTGTATTAAAACGTTGGTTATCTCTTCTGCTGAACCCTAAGTTCGTGATCGAATTCGTTGACCACAAGAGGAAAAAAGGAGCAGAGAATCCTTTCATGGACCTTTTTATCGTTGGCGGGTTGAAATTAATCAATTATCTTGATGATGATGACGATGACGACAAGACGGGTCGGAATCGATCATTTAATATTGACATCCACAATAAGGGATTTTAGAGCTCTCCTATGAATTTTCTTCCAAGGGGGTCATCGTTTAAGATTGTTGCCTCATTCAAAGACTTAATCTTATACATTGATGATATTAGTCGCAAGCATTACTACATATGTAATCCTGTAACCATTGTTTTTTGCTCTGAAAATTCTCAATGGATAGATATTGATGTTAGGTTTCCACTCTTTCCGAATAATTCTGACCCTGTATGATCCTTAAAGGGTGTGGTTTGTAACGGTATGGTATGCCTTTGCTATAATAAATACTTCGGGATGTTCAATCCATTCAACGTATATTAAAATGCGGAGGCAGATTGATTGCAGTCCATCCCAGTGCTTTGAGTCCTACTTACCATGAGGACAAAGAGGGTAATTTACTAGTGGATTATAGTGCGGGCGTTAGTGTAAGAATATGTTACCAAGAGCTCGATCTCAATCAGGTTGTTGACACTAATAATTTTAAGGTTGGTTGGATGGGGTGTAGGGTCTATATATGCATCGACAATACTGGAAGATCATGTTCAGTATTATCTGGAATTCGTATGATCAATGTACACCCGACTAACAAGCGTTTGCTTTATATCTTAACTACTGCATATGAACTGCTTTTGTGTGATACAAGGTCATCTGCCTTGAAGATTTTGGGTCGAATTGAACAGCTCCCGGATCAGGATCATTCACAGTCTTCCAAATTTACAGTATATGAGGAACTCAAGCATTTACAGTCGTCTTCCAACCACTTACAAGTTAAGCTCCAAAACTGGCCTACGCCTCTTCCTACTATCCGCCCATCCTAATCATTCTACTTTGCAATTCCTTTAATTTATGTTTAATTACTGTCTTGCTACTCTTTTATCATTCATAAAAAGATTTAATTTCTGGGTTTCTGATTTTGAGCTGAGCTTGTTGAAATACTTTGTTTTGAATATTTTCAGAATTTAATTTGGCTTTATGAAATCTTGTGTGTTTGACTGCTTATAGAGATATAGGAACTATTCTCATTGACTGAACTCAGCTGAACTGAACTGAGCTAAACTGAGATGAATATTTTATAAGACAACGAAATTAGGAGTGCTTATTAGGTATAATGAGAAATACATGTATTTATTCTTCTGACAAAATGACGAGGCTTTCAAGATTAGAAAGATGAACATGAAGAATTTAGAATTCATTTCACTATAACCAAAAACACATTAGAACACTATTTGAACAAAAACACATTAGAACACTATTTGAACATAAGTTACCATCAAATGTGCCGCATAATTTGCTGGTGGAGAGGTTAAATAAGGCAGTCTTAAAAAGTTGAGCCTGTTTTATTCATCAGAGTGAGACCATCTCTCGGCTTTTGTTCGTCAAAAGGTAGGGTAAACCATTGTGATTTGTGAATAAAAAGTGTTGAACGTTTATATATATATTGCAGGTGCCACAATATGAATTAACAGCAAGTAAACAATCAGAGCTAAAGTTTGATGGATATATAAACTTCCAATTACACAAAGCTAAGTTTAGGAGAAGTTGTTACTATTTTTTAACTAATACCATGCTAGTATAACTTTCACCTGGCAGATCATTGTAAAAGGAAATAAACATTCTGGACACTAGTATTGTAGGATGACAAACTCAACCATACCATGGACTTAAATGGTAATTACTACTGCTACCACAGATACCAATCTTAGTGTCAAAAGAAATTCCAGGAAGCAAAGCAAAAATAACATGGTATGGTAGATTCTGGAATATGTTTGTGAGGCGGCATAAATCATACAACGTATCGATATGTGACATATCTTCCGGCTGTTTCACTAGGGCGAATAATCTTCACAACTTGTCCACGCTTAAGTCCATAGTATCTAGCAACTGGATCATTCATCTGAATTCTTGGTAGCTGAACTCAGGAGCCAAAACACAAGGAAAAGAATAAAATCAGAAGCTACTTCATAACTGAACAAAGGTGCCCAAGCAAGCAAGGCTTTATAAAAACAATAGGGAGAAGGAAAACAATATGAGGTATATTGAAACACTAATATTGTTTCAGAAATGCAGGCTTCGTAAAAAACATAAATACTAGCAATATAAAATTCCAGTTATCTTTTACTAAGTGAGACCAACCAGTTCATGGGTCCTCAAGATGAACTCTTTTACAGTTTTACATATATATTCATATCGAAATATGAAATTGTGATACAAGTAAGTCCATGTATTGAGCTTCATGGTTGTTAAATTTACAAATCTTGAAGTTGAAGGCCTGTAAAAAGTTTCGATTCCTCAGCCCAAAATTGTCACTCTCAATCTAAAATTCCAATTATCAATCTAGATTTACGCATTTTTATTGTCATGCTGTAATTATATAAAGAATCAAGAATTACGCCAACATATATACTTTAGGACTAAAACAATAAAGAATTATGCAATATATATCACACAGGGTTAAAATTTGTGAATGCTTTACTCACATGCATTTCATGCATGATTTAAGTTCACAGTTTTGAAACATAGCAGCAGCCCAGGAGATAAAAATAGAAAAAAAAAATACTGGCATGAAATGTACTGACCTGAGTTTCCTTGACGGTGTACCTTTGGAGCAGGGTCTTCTTTTCTTCATCATTTAGCAATTGATGCTCAGGAACAAGAACATGCTCCTTGATGTTAACCAACATCTCTGCCTCCTGAAGCAGAAACATACATGTTACGAAATACAGACAAACCGTTTTCATATATTTAGTCCAAACATGATATCAACAGAAAACTCCACTAGCAACTTAGTCTCCATAGTGTAACAACTAACAACATAAGGATCATCAGATAATCACAGAATGGGTAGATAAAAAGATACATCCTTACAAGCTATAAATTAAAATGTTATGGCCTTTTAGCATCACAGATAGGACAAAATAAGACATTGTAAACAATGATCTATGCTATCATTCAACAGTCAGCAACAATGTGTAGTATGGTGTATAGTCCTGACTTGACCACTATGAAATTAGCAACACGTGAGCACATGACTACTTCAGTACAGACAACAGAGCTCGATAAAATTGAAAAAAGTAGAAAGATGCATTTCCTTTATAGATTATTCAAGTACGAACTAAACCAACAAAACGGTTATATTAACCTGAAAAACCTCCAGGTGGAATTTTGAAGACATTTCACTTATGCAAGTCTTGGCAAAAGGAGTCAGGTTCTGTTGGACCACCAGAATTGCTCTCGGAACATTTTCATTTTTCATAATATTGGCGTAATTCTTTATTGTTTTAACACCAACCTTAGGCTCCTCAGGGAAGAAAACATATATCTGCAACAGAATAAAATCGTCAACTGAAATGTCTGGATATGCAAGACATATTTGTCATGTAAAAATCATCAGTGGACAACTCGAGGTATACCTGGTCAGAGCTATCATTTCGCTTGCTTTTTTGGATAGAAAGAGCATCCCTCTTCAAAAACTCACCATATCTACTAATGAACTGCTGCTTTGACATGTTGAGCTCATGATCAGCCACAATATAACCTCTGTCATTCAGCATTTGCATTATTGTTCTCTGAATTCTGTATAATCTAGTTATCTCTTCATCCGAGGAAGCCATTATATTGATAACTGCAAGAAAGCAACTCTTGATATCATTTTCAACCACTTAAGGAACCAAAAAAAAAAGCGGAATAAATAACTTTATCAAAATCTCATATCAATCAATTCGACAAACGAAAGTTCTTAGTACTTAGTACCACTACTGCAGGAGAGCATTCAATTACATACAAAATCCAACTATTGACCCAAAAGTTCAAAATTCATGATACTCCGTAATCTAATTAGTCTGGCAAGAATACTGATGACTCTTATTTTAGATGATAAATTTACAGTTCAGAGCACGAGCTCCTAGAAACTACATTGTATAGCCATTGTTTTAATTCAATGAACATTGGAAAACACGAAAAAAATCAAAGAATACTATCCCCGTCTAATTTCATAGTTAATCCTAAAATTTAAGAATCCAAATTTGGTTCAATTATCAAATAAAGCTCGAAAAAACATACTCCGTATAATTTTAGGGATGTTTGATTCAATTATCAATTAGGTTCAGAATTTGATCTTTCATAATCATAATCTTAGTAATTCGAACCAATAGTTAAGATTTTCGTTAAACCCTAACATTATTACACAGACAATTAAATTAAATTAAATCAAAGATAAACCCTAGATTGTGAAATTGATATGATAATTACAAAAAGAAACAGAAACTTACCTAAGAAGCTGCTTCAATGGGGAATACAAGTAATTAGAAGGCGCCTTAATGAAGAACGTCAAGTGCGCTTCAATGGAGAACAGAGAAAAAGGCAGGATGAGAAGTAGGATTTTTTTTCTTATTGACAATTAGAGCAATTTAATACTCCGTAGGTTGGACTGTTGGAGCCCAATTAAAAAACCCTGGTACACCCCAATTATAAATGGGTCGGATCCGTCCAATAAATGAATTAAGGCGGGTCTTTATGGAGTCGTCCACTCGTCCCATTATAAGGGTCTGTATTCTTCATACTTTCTCGGTTTCTATTTAGTTGTTACGTTTGATTTAGACACATACTTCCTATGTTCTTTTTTACTTGACCTGTTTTTTTTTTATCACGCTTGCCAATAAAAAACTTTAGCAGTCAATAACTTTAATTCTTCATAAGTAAAAATTATAAAAGTTGTATATTACGATAGTACTTATTGAGACGAATTAAAAAAGATATCATATGAATATATTTTTCCTTACCTATCATTCACAAAAGACGATCAAAGGAGAGGTGGTAAATAGTATAAAAGTCAAAGCGGGTCAAGTAAAAAAGAACGAAGGAAGTATACTATTTCCGTAACAGGTTATGTGCAACGATTAGACATTTTCCCTCTCTACTTTATGTCAAATCGTTGGACATAACCTGTAACGGAGGTAGTATTAAGGAGATGAGAGAGAGTGAGAGAGAATGAAAAAACAAGTGGGGTAGCTTGTAAATGCAAGGTAAAAAAGTTACCCCAAAAGGAAACATGTCAACTAAAAAAAACTTCCTAAAAAGGAATACGTGTCAACTAAAAAGAAATGGAGGTAGTATAATTTTCAGTTCACTTGAGTTCAGTTCTAATAAGTTCAGTTCTTAATTTCCTTCTCTTGTAAAATATTCAGTTCACTTCAGTCAATTAGAACAGGCCCTAAATCCTTCATGGGGCGAGGAAGACCCCATAAGGGTTTGGTGTGTATTAAGAGGAATCTAAAAGTTTGATATTTGGGTATTATACTTTAAGAGGAATCTAAACATTACACCCATGATTATATTTAATCTTATGGATAAAGCATAAACATTGGTCAAAGTTGTGCACATGAATGATGCAAATGTATACAAGAGGGCACTTGTTAACAAATGGAAGGAGTAGCATCCAATTGGAAGATTATATGGCTCTTCCATATTACCTAGTCTGCGAACCCGGGTTAAAATGACTTACTACGGAGTATAACTTTTGATTCAATAGTGTCTCTAATTTCCTAAAAAAAAATTAAAAATATTGTATAAAAAATCAAATCAAGACACTACGGGTTGGATATATCATACGAAGTATAATGAATTAAAAACAAGTGAAATATTTAAAAATATAATAATTTTAAAATCTAACAACAAAAAAGTAAATATAGTTTTTTTATTAGAATACTGAAAACAAAAAACGATGCTAATATATTTAGTATTTTTGTTTCTTATTATTTGCAACCAATAAATATTTTATGTCTAACAAAATACGGTTTGTTGTAGACTTGTACTTAATTAGAAACGGAGATATATAAATCCAAGTGGTTAAAATCTGTTGGATTTTGCCCGCGCAGGTTCAAATCCTGCTGCCGACGAATTTTTATCTACATCGAATTATGTTTGTTCATTTTCCCTAAATATTCCAAACCACTGCAATGTGATGAAATTGAAATTGACAATGTCGAACCCAGAATTAAAACTTTTGATGATTTCACTTCATCGCATCTCTTGGGTCACCGTCAGGTAGATTTTTTCATGCTCTATTTTTTATTAAAATTCACATGTTTATTTCATATATTTTACTAATTTTAGCATACTTTATTTCTTTTTTTTTTCTTTTTTTTTTTTTTTGACAATAGCAAATTACATAGCATACTTTATTTCTGTGTATGAATATATGGGGGAAAAGTGATGTAATTATGGGTCTTTTTTTCTAAAGTTTGATTCTTAATTAATGGTTGCTAGCAGGAAGAATCGTACTATATGTGTTTGAAAAGAAAATTAATCAATTTTTTTCTGAAACCCAAAAGTCAGAAAAGAAATTATTGATTCTTTGATTCTGATTTTTGAAATTTTAGGCTTTTAATAACTGTGAACTTTGAATTTGCTATTTTTGTAATTCAAAGTGATTTATTTACAATTTGCGGGTCCAATTTTAAGCTAAAATTTACTTGGGTCTTAAATTTTGAAGGTAATTTAAGGATTAATTTATGCTGATGATATAGAAGTAGTCTTGATTTAGTTAAAAAATATTACCCTTTTGATTTGTACTGATATTCTGTGTACTGTGATGCATATTCTGGTTAGGCCAGGGGTAAGGCTATGTACATTTGATCAATTTGGATCTTGAAAGATGCTGCTAGTAAAGCGCGTTGTAGTTGTAATTTGTAATACAGCAGTGTATTGAATCTGGTGATAGCTATGCAACAATTTTACCTTGTTAATGCTGACATTTTTCTGGCTGGTCATATCGTATTGGGTTATTATATGTATATTTGTTTCACAATGTAGCAATCTGCTAGTGGTAGCTCTACCCTTTCTGCTCATTGTCCTTCTGACTGGATTTTATTATGTAAATGAATACTTTATAGGCTGCAGACGTTTCATGGTTCAATGAGAAAACTATTGTAAGGTTGTCAGAATTGATTTTTTCCCCCGGGTTAGGAACTAGGAAGGGGCAAGTGGGGGCGGGGAGGGGGGGGGGGGGAGGGGATGGTTGAGAGAGTGTAGTAAGTTGGCAGAGCTTGAATCATGATTAGCTGATGATGGCAATTTTTGAAGTTGATTGTTGTCAGTAGTTGACAGTTTTACTTAAAGTAGATCTTGGAAATGTACTATGCCTGGTAACTTGTGTTCCAATGTTCAAAAACTTCCCTTCTATTGCTGTTGCACTGTATATAGCCAGTGCAGTGGAATTTTGATGGAATAGAATTTTGTATTAATTGCTGTAAATGCTTGCATAATTATAATTTACTTGCATTCTGTTTGTGCAATGTTGCACATGATTGGTGCCAAAAGGTTCTTTATACTATTTGAAAGTATCATGTGAGATCTGGGGGGCCAGGAAAATATAACATGCCTCTTTACTTTGATTAGGCTTCTTTTAAACATTGCATTGTTTCTTTATGCTGCAGGTCTTTCTATAAGTGGGTATCAAAGACCTTAGAACTGGAAACCTCCATGGGCTAGAGACAGAGTGGAGCATCTGATTCGAGCGGCTTTATAAAGTACTGCTCCTTCGTTAGAATACCTGCAGAACAAAAAGTATGGTGGTGGAACGAATCGAATTTTGCTGCCATTTTCCATGTTATGTGTAAAATGAGCAAGGAAAAGAGTGGGATATAACATCTAATCATGTATGTTTTGATTACATGGCTATCCAAATTTTCGAGTAAAGCATAATGCCAGAGGTATGCCAAGCTATGATTAGGGTTGAAGTTAAGATTCGATAATAGTTCCTCACTTTTGTTCTTCAGATCATATGACATATGGCATATGGCATATCTTGGCCATCATTAGTCATTGATTGTGCTACCTAGTTAAAAATGAACAGCATAATCCAATGTGGATATTGTAGGCTAGAACATTTTACCACCAAAAGGGCTGGTATTGTTTGTTGCTCAAGATGCCATACCGTAATTCCTATACAAACATGTGAAGTCACAAACTATACTAATATTCTGAAGAACAGAACTTGGAAAGATCCTCAGCTGCAAAAGATCAAAAGTTCTAGTCTGAACCTTGGCACTTATAGAAATGGCAACCTTGGAAGCACTTCAGGACCATCTGAATATAAGGCTCTAGCAAGCCAATGGCCAAAAGCTTCTTTTACAATATTAAATGCATGCCCTAGAGGTATCTCTGCAGCAAGGATTGGGAAACGAGCATTAATCTGTGGCGTGAGCTACAAGAAGCAGAAATACAAGCTGAGAGGAACTCTCACTGATGTCTACAATATAAAGCAGCTTCTTTTGAATCGATACCATTTTCCTGAGAATTCAATTAGAGTCCTTACAGGTAATTTGAAATTATTGTGCCATAATATTGTTCATGAAAGGCTTACTCTTTCAGGAAACACTCTCAGATAGAAACCGAATATTGCCTTGTTTTATGCTATATTATAAGAATCAGTTAACAACATAGTATATCCAGATATTTGATTGAAGGAACAGGTAAGCTATTCAATTTCATTTTCATTCTAGATTGGTTGTTTGGGGGGGGGGGGGGGGGGGGAGGGGAGTATCAACCTGAAAATGTGAAGAGGATGTGACGACAAAATCTGTGGGCATGAAAAATAATTGTAATAGTATCTACTCATGTGATTTTTACATTTGGTTTTAAAGCTTTAACACCATGTTTTGATTCAATTTCATTTTTCGGTTTCCCTTGTCTTGTTTATACACCACAATAAGGATTATATTATGAAACATGCATGTGCATTGCTCTAGATGTTTTATTCAGTGATAATGTTTTTTCCCTGTACAAAATGCATATGGGGTACATTAAAAGAAGTTACAGACCTAGAGGGTTCTTACTTATGATTTTCTGGTTAAAAGCATAGCTTTAATTGAATAACTGACTGATTATTGGTGCTACCATTATATTAGAGGAAAGTGATCTTGATCGAGTGCCTACTAAAGCAAACATGGAAGAAAGCTTGAGATGGCTTGTTGAAGGAAGCAAACCAGGGGATTCACTGGTATTTTATTTCTCTGGACATGGTTTGCGTCAACGTGATTTTGACAATGATGAGCTTGATGGATTTGATGAAACACTGTGCCCTGTTGACTTCAAGACTGAAGGAATGATCTTTGACAATGATATCAACACCATGATAGTTAAACCTCTAATCAAGGGGGTAACACTCCATGCGATCGTTGATGCTTGTCATAGCGGAACTATCCTTGATCTTGAGTACTTGTATGATCTGACTGGGTAAGAATTTAACATCTACTCCCAAGTCCCACCTCTGATGATGCTTTTGTTAAGCTTACCACATATACAGTAGTGTATATACTTGTGCTCAGCTTTGGAGTTTGTACCACATATTTGAACTTGGGGTAAAGGAAATGCTTTGAGAGCAAATTCAATTTGCAAAATAACTTACGGTTTCAGCTGATTGCTGATCCTTGTCTAAGGTTTAGATAGAAATAATGTAATTTGATGATTAAGTTGTGTAATATCTAACAGGAGGAAGTGGTTGCACAATAGACCTCCTTCTGGAGCTAAGAAGTGTACAAGGGGAGGTCGTGCCATCTGTTTTAGTGCCTGTCGTGATGATGAAATGGCTACTGACAGCAATGTAAGGATCAGATCAATTTTTTTTTATTTTTTTTTTTTTCTATTCAAGTTTGATGCTCTTGTTGAAAATTTGTGCAGCAACTTATTCGAATTCTCTTTCATAATGTTTCTGATTACTGAATTACCATTGTGATGTGCTGGTAATTCTTGTAATGATTGGTAGGTTGGATCATATTTAAATGATATAAACTATATGATATGTCAGTTTCACTTTAATGCACTGTTTCTTTAGCTTTTCTTTCTGTACATTGCTTCTTACTATGGATGTCTCTCGAGACTCGCGCAGTCCAGCTTCCACCCTAAACTGTTTGTATATTGAACTCGGATTCAATTCAGTTTATGTTACCTTTCTATTACTATTTACAAGTTTTTGGTTATGAATGCAGGCTTTTACTAAAAAGGGCATGAGTGGTGTCATGACGTATTGTTTCATCCAAGCTATACTTAATAAACCAAAGTTGACGTACTCTGAACTCTTATATTCTGTGCGTAAGTCTATTCTGGAGACCTTTGCATCAAGATGCATCAGTTCAAAGCTTATTGATAAGTTGTTACACCGCGAATTATCACAGGTAGGTTTTTGTTTCTTTTGAATTCCTCTTTTCATTTTTGATACTTTACCCTTATAAAACAGGCCTTAGATTGAAAATGTATCATCCTGCTTACTTATTTTAATAGATTAGCAAAGGAACTCAATTTAGTAAGACATCTGAATTTACTCCACCATAACTCAAAGATAATAATTGTTTAGTAGTGCTATTATTTTGGATTTCTGTCAAACCAATTACATGATAGTGCGTAATTCAGTTGTAGATATATAGCAGTTTCATGTTGCTATTAAAGGTTTGATGTTATGAAGATCTCAATATCAGCTATGTACTGTGATCTCACACAACAGTACGATTTATGATGGGGGGAATATGATTTATGATAATTAATGCTGGAAGTTTGACACTATATGAGTTAACTCTACTCTTGGCTTGATTTGAACGTTGTTTTTTTTTTTTTTTTTTAATTTAATTTAATTTAATTTTTTATTTTATTTTATTTTAAATATATGGTTCCCCCTAGTCTACTTTGAAATTTATTGATTTTTTCAGTTTTGTCTGCAGGAGCCACAACTGTCTTCTTCTGAAATATTCGATGTTGAAAATACCATGTTCACCTTGTGATCACCGCAATGAGAAAGTAAGCTTTGAACAAGCTCTCTGCTATTCTTTGTGACAAGAAACCTCTACTTGTTGGAAACATTCTGTATTATGCTTTGATTGTTTTCTAATTGTGCATAACCATTGACACATGTCCATTGTATCATGTTGAAGTTACCAACTAATTATATATTCATTATTCTTACTGAATAACAGTAATGCTTTTTCACTTTTTTCTGCCGGGTTACAACATGAAAAATTGCAACTACCTTTAGATTTAACTGCTGGAATGGTCTTCAAAGAAATAAAATACTGCTTCTGGATTAATAAGCTGAGTTAAAATTGACTTGAAGATCTAATATAAGAACTAGAAAAAACAATATTAAGCTAGTGTTTTGAATGCCTAACAATCTAACATACTCCTAGACTCCAAGTACACATTGCTGTAGAGTTTCTATATCACAATTTACATCAATGCACTTTCATCTGTTCTGCTGTGAGCAAAAGCTTGCGAGATATGTCACACCACCTTAAGTAGGAGCCATAGAGGTTAGGCCAATCTGAGGAGGAACACTGAGTGAAATGGTGGAACCACAAAGACAATACTTTCTCCCGGTTGTCTTCTTCCTCGATCATGTCTATTATTTCTTCCAGTGCACTCTCAATCTCTCCTCGTTCACTGGTGCTAAGGGTTGGTGCATCAGTCCCGTTGCTGGCTTGACACAGTAAAGGAAGCCATGTAGTTAACATCTTCATTTTAGTTTGCATTTGCTGCTCTGTTTTGCCTCCTTCAGTTTGTTGCTCTTTACCCATATCCTTGGCATGCTTGATCAAGAATGCTGCAGAAATTTAGAGTTTAAAAGTCTTGAGGAATACCGATTGTAGGAATAATGTTTATCTAAAGTTCCTCTTTTCTGCCATGCTATTATGAATCTTTTAGTCATTAATGTGTGTTAGATTATGTTATTCTGTGTTTGTTTGAGCAGAACTTCGTTGTGCTATTCCACAATGAGCTAATCTAATCTTGTTTAGAAAACTGAACCAAACTCAAGAAAACTGAAACCATTAATTGTCTAGCAAAGTAAACCAAACTCGAGAAAATTGAAACCAATCAATGTAAACCACATAAAACTTGGACCAAAATTTCAACCAAGAAACAATTAGAGAGGATATTCTTTGGAAGAGAACCATATTTAGGGAAAAAATATTCCTCAAGTAATTCATTCATACCTGTGAGCTTGACCAATGAAGCTTGAACCCTTGGCTCAGTTGTTAAAGCTAACCATCCCAACCTTCTAACCCAAGCCCATTTCTCCACCACCACCGCTCCGCCGCCACTTTCCTCCATTTTATGGGCTAACCATAACAACTCGGCTGCCATCTTTTCCATGGCAGGCTCATCATCGTCCTCTCTCACTTGATACCATCCCTTGGCTGCCCTTACAACTCTACCGAGCCCAAAGTCACCTTTACCTAGACCAAGGGAAAACTTATTTTGTTGGTCCAACAATGTGGCTTCTAGTTGGGAAAGTGTCTTGTCAAATGCTTCAGATAGAACAAGACAGTTGACCTGTCTTAGGGCTTCAGACCCTTCCTTAAGATTCTCGTTGATCAGCCTCTCCGCCAAGGAACGTACAACTTCATACTTCCTTGAGCTAGTGGGGATGTTGTTTACAAGAGAGAGCAGCTGGTAGATAGCCCGAGCAATGGCTGTGTCACCACCTCGGCCAGTAGCAGTGCTGCTGCTGCTATCTACCAGCTGCTGCTCATATTTACTGTGTTTAACTAAAATCCTAGAGGAGAAGGGGAGATAACTCAAAGGAAGAGAATAAACAAGGTTGAGGATGAAAAGGAAGATAAAGGCAAAAAAACGTAGGATTCGGACAAGTTTTGTTTTATGGAAGAGAAACATGAAAGATTTGTCTGCTGAAAAAAACAGCGGAGCCACAACGAGGTTGCGAAGCAATATGAGAGGGGTTGATGAGCTCTCCATAACCACCCTTATGTCTTAATTTGCTTACCTTTTCTTTGGTTATGTTGTAAAATTTGTATGAAGGTAGGAAGAATGGAGGGAAATTAAAGAGGTTCGCTGATGAATTGGGTGATCTGAAATAGAGGACAAATAATAATGAATAAAGCTGGAATTATGATATGTACTAGTTTAGTTGTTTAAACCGTTGAATTTTTTAATTACGTGTATTAGTGTGTATGGTTCCAAATCTTCCAATATACAAGTAGTATGTAGCTTTCAATCAAAGTCTAACAACGTTGATGTTTATAAAGTTTCTTGTTTGGCATTGAAGAATTGTATTGTCTAAATATTTCTTGACTTCTTGTGTAGTTGTATATAGCATAATCAGTGATAATCTTACATTATACTTTGAGTATGTTGGTAATTTAATCTCTTTGGTCCAATATCTTGTTTAATTTTCGAGGTGGTATACGTAAATTGCGATATTTATTATGCTTATAGATCAATGGATGATTAATTTAGTTCAATGAAGTGCATGTATATTAGTAATTTAGTATGGGTGATATGTTAATTATGGCTTGCACTTGAGACCAGGATACAATTGAACAAATGTTGTACTTTTTTGAACATTTACTTGTGAATATTTAGCTAATTCACAATTTCATATACTCCTTTTGTCCCGTTTTGTTTGACCTAATTTCTTTTTTGAGCCGTCCCTTAAAGATTGCTCCATATTAAAAATGTACATAGGACCATTACTTTATTTTTACAAACATTACTTTGATCCCATCACTTTTCTCTTTCATCAATTTCACTCAACCAAAACTTAATAAAATAATTTTTATTTATGGGGCGAACAATTGGTAGAGAGGGAGTATTATGTACATCTAACCTTGAAAAGTTAATAGGTGAAGGAGGTTGAATACAAAGACTTTGTAACTTGGAAAGTCTGATGCTCAACTCTAGCTACTGTTATGTACAAAGATTATCAATTTTTATTGCTATTGTTCGAGGGTAGGATCCTGAGGAAGGATCATATGAGATTCATTTAAAAATGTTTTCAAATGCTTTAAAAACTCCCTTGATTTCTCTAAGTTCACAGCATGCCCTGCTTCCTTGATCACCACTAGCTGAGCATTACTTCCTAAGTGCCTGTATGTACACAAATTCAATTGCGTTCAAACAAGCAAAAAATGTCAAATGCTTAGTATTTAAAAATAGAGGGAGTACAACACAAGTCATTGAAGGTTCAACGATAAAGATAAAATCGCTTGTATTGGTTTAAAACCAGTGATTATGTAATACGGAGGTAAACTAAATATGTTGCATTTAACTTAGGCATAAAACAAGCATTAAGTAAGAAGTATTGAAGCATACCGTTGTAATCGATATCCTAACTCTATAGGGAAAATTTGATCTTGCTCTCCCCATACTATCATTGTGGGCTGCATTCAATATTGAATTTATTGGTCAGAAAATTTAATGGAAATGAACTACATTATTGTTACTCCTAATGAACACCCAACTGAGGCTAAACATATTACTAACTCAAAAACTTATGAAAATGTGATAAAAACACACTTTGTTAGAATCCAAAACTTGGGTATTAAGCTTAATTTTGGCATTTTTTTTTTCTAAAAATATTTCATGGAAATGAACTGCTACACATTATTGTTACTCCTGGGGTGCTGGTTTTTTTGGGTTTGGGGCATGTTATGAGGCGAGAACGGAGCAAGGTAATTGCGGTAGACCTAGTGTAGTTCCAAACCAATCAACTTTATAAACCTGTTGGTAATGGTAGACTTATTATAGTTCCAAACCAATTAACTTGTATGACACTGGGGGGACACTCTGCATTCTTCTTAATTTGTCCGAAAACGTGGATTATCCTTCACTTTTGGTCAAGTTTTTACTTTTTCCGCTTGAAAAGGAAAGAGGTTGAGGTGTTTTCCATGGACCCCATAAAATCATGAGAGGCTATTTTTGTGATTGGAATTGTCTACTCAAGTCCATGGGCCTTTATGTTATTGGATATTGCTATATTGGCCATATTTGGCTTCAATCAACATTATATGTTGGTATGACCCTAAAATAATGCATCCCCTATCATTCTTTGAGTTTTCGACATCATGTCTCAAAGTCTCCAAAAATGGTCCGATCTTGTGTGTTATTGACTTCAAATTTAGCTTCCTGGAAACATTTTCGAAACTGACAAAGTTATGTATTGTGATATTTCCTGGAGTTCCCAAAAGGCCTCGGGAGGCCTACTTGATAGCCCAAACCATTCATACCTTAGTGTACCCCTCATCATTATATGTGATCCATTTGCATATTTCATTTTACATAACATATACATTAAAATAAAAAATAAAAAGGGTTATGCACAATACATGCATGGCAAGCAGAAAGATTAAAGCGGTTTATCACTTACATGACGGATCTTTGGCAATTTTGAGAGTTGCCTATCCTTAAGTATTTCTTCAATCAATTCTCTCTTCTCGTTCACATAATTTTTACACATAACCTGCATAATCATTTAGACATTTACATAAGTCATTAAGGTCCGGTCGATCACAAACACAATGTGCCTATTGTATGAGCATACATTGTTCTTGTTACTTGGTATTGTATGTCAAAATATTAAGTGTATATCATTCTTGTAATCAGTCTATTAACTCATATATATAAGTTGCGTAAAAAGGTAGTGATTTCTATTAGTAACCGGTATTCAGGTAACCACAAAATAAGTGACACGCGGAAGTGGACATAGGTATCATAACTCGGATTTGGGGACTCACATTTATGAAGTCGGTCAAGCGCCAATCTGGCACTCCCTTGGGAGGTTTAACAAAGGAGAGTCTCATCAACTCCCTCAACTTATCAGCATTTTGAGGCATTAAGATCTTGCCAGCTTCATCCAAGTCTTGAACTTTAAACAAACCCTCCTTCAAGTCCTTCTCTTCAATACAAACCCCGGTGCAACACAACACCGCCTTCTCTACTACCTCCGGAAATTGGCATGCCATGCTATACCCTACAAAACCGCCATAGCTAATACCTACAAAGCTCACCTTTTGTACTCCATGTATGTGCATTAGCTTCATCAAGCACCTTGCTTGAAAACTTTCTGACCTTTCCTTTTGGGTTGTGTAGGACCTCCCAAAGAATATGAGGTCTGGTACATATACCTGTAAAATTAATGTAATGAATGCATATTATACATACTTATTTTAGCAATGATGATAAAGAAATGAGTTGATGCTAAGAATTATTACATTGTATTTGGGGATGAAATGATCAATTGTATCAGAATATTGCCACATTGCATTGGCACCAAACCCATGAACCAACAGAAGGTTTGGCTTAGATTGCTTGTACAACTTAGGAACCCAACAATGCATGGTGGTTCCGTCGCCAAGATCTGACGACACGGACCGGAGACCAGCATGGGAGAAGGTAAGCCGGTACCACCAGTCCCTTGATGCCGTGAAGCTTAAGGATCTAATAATTGTGGGGCTAAACATTGTTTCAATAAAAATTAAGCCAATTAGAACCCAGAAGTTCTAATCATATGGCCTAAAGTTTTAATTAGGTTGATACTTGATTAATCATAATTATCAGGATTATTAAGATTGGACTAAGGAGGTAAAATATTCCACATAATAAGGAATCAAGGATTAATAACCAAATTTAGCCTTTAAATTAACAGCTGTTACATTTGTTTACAACCAAGGAAAGAGTATTTTCACAAGGAATATTATTAAGTTACCAGACACTTCTATAGCTTTTTATATCTTTCCACTAGAACAAAAGATTGGCCACATTTGAAAATGAATCAATTCACTGAACACATTTTCATTTCTTCAATCAAGTGAATCAACATGTACATAAGACTGATAAGAGTATGTCCGTTAATTTTGAAAGCAGCTAAACAAGTATCCTACCTCTCCAAAACTAATATTTCGCCGCAAAACTTGTGCAAGAATGTTGTATCATTCATCACAGTGCCAAAATTTCTATACACAGATTAAAAGAAAAGAAAATATATCTACGATCTCAATGTATAAACGCCATGCTCTTCCTCTTTTACTAGCCTTTATTTCTCATTATTGTTTTGCCTTCCGCTGGAAGTAGAATTAGAAAAATCGACAAGTGAAATCCTGTTTTTAACTCATGAGCTTCTTCAACCGCTTCTCTCCAAGATTGGCGACCTTGTTATGCGGCTCAAGAACATGTGCATGCTTGTAGTCTGTAAATACAACAATGATTGTGAGAGAGGAATATACACTTAGCATTGATCAGTAAAGTTATAATAAGTTATACGAAGTATAACAGTGAAGTTTAAAGTTCAGTGTTCATATAATATTGGTTTAGAGGATACTAGAGGAATACTTAACAAATGATTAAAGAATTTGGGAAGAATAAGGATTAACTAGAGCCATATGATTACATCAATCTCGTTAATTAGCAATAGACGATGACAGCAACAATTATGATGATGATGCAGTATCAAACAATTGTCGTGATCTACGTAGCATTTACCCAATTGGTTATCCCAAGAAAATCCAACAAAATTGTTACAGGGTATTCACCCTAAAAGTAACTGAAGAGGGGAAAGTAAGAAGGAAATTATACTTGTACTAATGTTTTAGGCTTGGAAGTCATAACGGACGGCAGCTACACCCAACGTAATTAAGAATCATAAAGAAGGTCGGCGGTTAAGTACATAAAGGAAAAATAACATTCCATGAAGGAGATCCAGTCCCTCCACTCACTAAGATTAAACGAATATATTAGCAGCATTTAATAGATTGAAAAGTAGAACAAGAATTCAAGCACTACCTTCAGCAGCTTCCTTATATCGAAGAAGTGACTCTCTAGCAGTCCCTCTTCTCAAATATGCCTTCACATTCTGTAACATAATTTATAAATAAAGTTATCCACAAAACCAAAATACAAATGACGATAAAGTCACTTTCAAATGATAACAATTTACAATAATGTGATGGCTTGCCTTACCGAAAGATTTTTCCAACAAGTAAAGCTCTTATACGTTTTTTTTTTTTTTTTTTTTTTTTGAAGAAAGTTAAGCTCTTACACTATTTATACCTTATGTTTTAATATATCTAAGAACACTAAATGCAGCACCAAAACAATGCAGAAGCAGATTATGAGAAAAAAAAAAAAAAACAGCACTTGTGATCAAATTATTGATCCGAGTGTTTTGTAATTTAGGGAGAAAGATTTCTCACCTTTTTACTTAGTGATATAGCTTTGGTGCAATCATCCTCGGCTTGCTGGAAGCTACACAAACAGAAAACTGATTTAATTACATCACAAATTTTTTTTTTTCTTGGGGGGGAGGGGTATTCAGTGGATTTCCTAATATTCTTGAAACTCTCAGAAGTTGGTTTCTCAAACATTGGATATACAAAACACAGTACATCAAAGGGAAGGCTGAAATGAATCTATCATTGTAATAAAGAAATCAACATTGTCAGGAAAACCTAATAATAAGAAGAAAAAAAATATTTACCATCCCAGCTCCAAGTATGCAGCTGCTCGATTGCAATAGTACGTTGCATTAGTCCCATTCAGCTTTACAGCTTCAGTGTAATAGTTCACAGCCTTATTCCATTGTTTCCCCTTGTATGCAGCATTACCCTGGAGAAAGATTGGACAGTGAGACAGTAATTTTTATATCTCTAAACATTTAGAAAATTATCAAAAAGAAGCTCCAACATAAGAAAGAAAAAGCAACGAAGTCCAACAATCACGAGCTAATTATTGTTTCTCATGAATCAAAGTTTGGCTATTCTAATGAGTAATCACCCAACTACTAAAAAATTTTATTCAACATTGTAGCAACCGGCACTAAACTTTATATCAAGGGAAGATATATGCTAGAAACTTAAACTTTACAGATTTCACGATTTTTATGACCTGACAACAGCATTGCTAACCTCAAGAAGTCACAGCCCAATCAATAGACAGATAGCAAGGAATTCTAAATCGCTTTCTTAGTGAATTGTGATTGCCCAAGGGGAATGAAAACGCAAAGATAGTACTGCTATTTTGGGTGGCAGGGACCAGAAGTATTCAATATTAGGATGCACGTGATAAATCACAATTCATAAAAGAACGTTTTATACAAGTACAATTCAGCGTGATTAGTATCTAGCTAAAGACCCAATTAATGAAGAATCACAGTCATCACACAAATACTTCAATAGTGTCGGTTAAGGAATAAAAAAGGAAAGGAGGACAATGTTTTATGGTAAGTATGGAGCGACTGGCATCTCCAAACTCAAGTCCAAACCTTGTTTGATTATAAAGGAAGTAGCATCTTCCTTATCCAAGGTACTGTACATTTGGCCTCTCACACAATCTCAAACACTCTAAATTTTTTTTACTTATTTCTTCCGTTTTTTTTTAATGCATCGCTTACTAATAAGGGAAGTTTCAATTTAGGTGCACCACTTTCCTTTTTGTCAATATTCTCTCTCTATCTCTCTCCTATCACATAGGTCCAGTCTTGTCTTTCTGCTTTCTCTCTATCCCTCTCATCTCCTAAATTTGCCTAGGAGTCCACAAATTTTAAAGTGATGCAACTAAAAGAAACGGAGGAAGTATGTTAGTATGTTACTATGTTTTACTGATACCAAGCAAAACCAACATTCCTGAATCAGATGATAGCAGTAATTCACAGGAAGCTCTCACTATAAGGTCCAGCCTTTTCAATTTCATAAGGCATAAGCAAACAAATAAAATCTCTTCTGCAATCAGAAACACCTATTCCAGCACTGGAATAGTGTTGCAAGGAAAGGGATCAATCATTGCTTTGCTTTGGTATGAACACAATTAGTAAGCTTTCACAAACCTAACATTACCAGCATTTTCAACAAACTACCTTCTCTTTCAGCAGTTCAGAAGCATCCAAGTGACCATTGGTATCTGGCAATGGTTTGGACTCGAATGCAAGTCTCACTTGTTCTTTAAGTGTTGAATAGCAATCCAACACAGTATCGAGCAGAAACTTATCAGATCCATGAAATGCGATCAATGAAATAGAAGTTGGAAGACCATCATGCTCTCCCAGTGGAACAGTAACCTGGCAGCAGAACAGCATGTGACTTCTACAAGAATAAGCAGATAAATCCCCATAAATTAACCCCCAAAACTCAGCCTGATTGTTCAATACCTGACAGCACCCGGACATGCTTGATATGCTGGATAAGAATAGTGCTCGATCATTAAACTCAGAAGACAGACCTTTTCTTGAGTTGCGTTTTATTGGAGGATCAATTATTGTTGGAAGAACAAGAATTCCATCTACCTGAGAAAAAAAAAATAGAAGATTTAACACAATAGATACAGCTTTACCAAGAAACCCCCCCCCCACACACACACACTGAATGAGAGAGGAAAAAAGAAAGAAAAATCTAAGGGTACACCACCGACAGATCTAGCACACATAATCAGAGTAGAATAATACACTAGCCAACAAATAAGATATGGTCCAACTTCTTCAACTCCAACAGAACCACAGGTAGAACATGAACATAAGTTTAGACAAACAGTATTACTGAAATTGAAATCCTAAAAATGGATGCAAACTTATTCCTAATCATAATAATCAGCTTAACCTTGAATGTTCCAATCCATACATCCACTATGGCATATTTATTTTCCAATTTCTACTGAAATTATCATTAGAATTGCCCCAGATTAAGAAGCATAATATCAGCACAGAAGCTTGAAGAAAACAATCTCTGTTATGGTCATTGTCCAACCTAAATGTTCATTACTAATGTGGGCTTGCACACTATCTATCAAGCAGTCATTACTCCTAAGTACCCAATCACACAAGGATATGTCCAATAACTGGACAAGAAAATCCAAAAATTCAGATTAAGATGCCTCAATATAAGATGACTATAAGGAAGAAACCTATGCTGCTACTTCCTCTAAAATATACTTTATACCTTATAAGCAAGCATAATTGTTTTCCTTTAAAATCACTAACATTAAAATTGTGTTACAACACCATGGAGTGATCAAACATGCACCTTCTCGAACTTCTAAGATCTAAAACATCCCAATATCTCATTACTGAAGACCTAAAAGAAGTCCCCCCCCCCTCCAAAAAAAAAAAAAAAAGTCTGTACTCTAAAACAAGCTGCACAAAATTACATTTGATTAAGTACATCTTCAGGGTTTTGATACATGGAAAAAGCAGGAATAAAAGGACTGTTCATCCTCATACAGACCTGGAAAATGGGTCATTTAAGTCGCATTCAACACAACTCATACATCATAATTTTAAAAGCAAACAGGGAATAAGGGAAAACAAGACTATTCATCCGTATATAGACTTGGAACCTGGATCATTTAAGTCACCATTATTTTTCACACATGCAAGGAATAAGGGGAAAAGGGATTGTTCATCCTTATAGCCCTGGAAAATGGGTCATTTAAGTCACATTCAACACAACTTAATGAACAGCTGAATATACCTTTAGAAGGTCCTGCAACGCAGCACGCAATTCGGCCCTGACTTTATACAAACCTTTTACA